TTTAATAGATAGAAGTCTATTAGGAGTATTTATTTCTTCTTGTGTGAGTCTAGGTAGATCGTCTCTTTCAAGGAATTGGTCCATTTCATCTAAGTAATCAAATTTGTGGGTGTAGAGTTGTTCATATTATTCCTTTATTACCCTTTCAATGTCCAGGGGCTCAGCTGTGATGGCCCACCTTCATTTCTAATATTAGTAATTTTTGTCTTCTCTCTCTTTTTCCTGATTGGCCTGGCTACAGGTTTATTGATTTTATTGATCTTTTCAAAGAATCAGCTTTTGGTTTTGTTAATTTTTTCTTCTCTGTTATTTTCCTGTTTTCAATTTCATTGATTTCTGTTCTAATTTTTATTATTTTTCTTTTTCCGTTTCCTTTAGATTAAATTTGTTCTTCTTTCTCAAGTTTCCTAAAGTAGAAGCTTATTGATTTTAGATCTTTCTTCTTTTCTAATACATATATTCAGTGCTATAAATTTCCCTCTAAGCACTGCTTAACTGCATCCTGCAAATACTGATAAGTTGTATTTCCACTTACATTTAGATCAAAACTTTTTTTTTTAAATTTTTTGAGCTTCTTCTTTGACCCATATGTTATTTATAAGTGTGTTGTTTAATCTCCAAATACTTTGGGATTTTCTAGCTATCATTCTGTTATTAATTTCTAGTTTAATTCCATTGTGGTCTGTAAGCTTGAATGATTTCTATTCTTTTAAATTTATTAAGATGTGTTTTATGACCCAGGATGTGGTCTGTCTTGGTGAATTTTCCATGTATATTCAGCTGTTAATGGATGATGTATTCTATAATGTGAAGTAAATACAGTTGATAATTGTGCTACTTAGTTTAACCATATCCTTACTAGTTTTTTACCTACTGGATCTGTTAATTATTGACAGAGAAATGTTTAAGTCTCCAACAATAATAGTGTATTTGTGTATTTCTCTAAGCAGCTTGGTCAATTTTTGTCTCATGTATTTTTATGCTCTGTTAGGCACATTAAGGATTGTTATATATTCTTGGTGACTAGACCCCTTTATCATTACCTAATGCCCCTCTTTACCCCTGATAATTTTCCTTAATCAGAAATCTGCTTTGTCTGAAATTAATATAGCTATGACAGATATTTTATGATTAATGTTAGCATGGTATATCTTTCTCCATCCCTTTACTTTTAATCTATTTGTGTCTTTATATGCAAGTGGTTTCTTGTTAACAACATGTAGTTCAGTCCTGGCTTTTTATCCACTATAATAGTCTCTCTCTTTTATTTGGCATATTTAGACCATTCACATTTAAATTGATTATTGACATAGTTGAATTAATATCTACCATACTTGTAATTGTTTTCTGTTTGTTGCTCTTGTTCTTTGTTTCTTCTTTTTTTGCCTTCTCTGGCTTGAATTGGGTATTTTGTATGAATCCATTTTCTCTCTTCTCTTAGCATATTGATATACTTCTTTTAAAAATTGTCTTAGTGATTACTCTAGAGTTTTCAATATATATTTACAACTAATCTAAGTTACTTTCAAATAACACTGTTCTGCTTCACAGGTAGTATAAGTACCTTATAACATTCCTCCCCCTGCCCCATTTCTTTAATTTTGTTATCAGACATTTCACTTATCCTTAAGCTATAATCATCTGATGTATTGTTGCCATTGTTATTTTAGACAAACCATTATCTGTTAGATAAGTTAAGAATAAGAAAACTAAATGTTATATTTTGCCTTTATTGTTTCTTGAATGCTCTTTCTTTATGTAGATCTGAGTTTCTGACCTATATTATTTTCTTTCTCTCTGAAGAACAACTTTTAACATTTGTTGCAAGTAGGTCTAGTGGCAACAAGTTCTTTCAATTTTTGTTTGTCTGAGAAAGTCAAATTCTCTTTCATTTTTGAAGGATAATTTTGCTGGGTTCAGAATTCTAGGTTGGTTTTTTGTTTGTTTGTTTTCTGTCAACACTAAAAATTTCACTCCACTCTGTTCTTGCTTGAATGGTTTCTGAAGAAAATTCCAATGTAATTCTTATCCTTATTCCTTTATATGCAAGGTGTTTTGCCCCCCCCCCCCCTTCTGGCTTCTTTCAAGATTTTCTCTTTGCTTTTCTGCAGTTTTAATATGACATGCTTAGGTATATTTTTTTATATTTCTGCTGTTTGGTGTTCTCCGAGCTTCCTGGATCTGTAGTTCGGTATCTGTTAGCATTTTGGAAAATTCTCGGTCATTATTACTTCAAATGTTTCTTCTGTTCCTTTCTCTCTTCTTCTGGCCTTCCTATTATGCATATGTTACACATTTTGTAATTGTCTGACAATTCTTGGATATTTTGTTCTCATTTCTTGAGTATTTTTTTCTCTTTGCTTTTCAGTTTGGAAAGTTTCAATTGATATATCTTCAAGCTCACTGGTTCTTTCCTCAGCCATGTCCAGTCTACTGATGAGCCCATCAAAGGCATCATTCATTTCCGTTACAGTATTTTTGATGCCTAGCATTTCCTTTTGATTCTGTCTTAAGAGTTTCCACCTCTATGCTTATGTTACCCATCTGTTCTTGCATGTTGACTCCTTTTCCATTAGAGCTCTTAGTATATCTTAGTATATCTGATAATTCCAGAATCTCTACCATATGCAAGTCTGGTCCTGATGTTTGCCCTGTCTCTTCAGACTGTGTTTTTTGCCTTTCAACATGTCTTGTAATTTTTTGTTGAAAGCCAGAAATAATGTACTGGATAATTGTAACTGAATTTCTTTCTGTTGTCATCTCCTGTAATTCTCTGTTGATGTTTATTGGTATTAAGGTCTGGGGGAAGAGGAAGCATTCTATAATCCTATGATTATTATGTTTCAGTCTTTTAGTGAGACTGTGCCCCTGGGTTGTGACCTTCACAAGTACTTCTCTCCTTTTTTTATGTCACTCCTTTTGTGAGATAGGAAGGCAAGAGGTGGCTAGAATTAGATATTTCCTTTCCTCCATGTCCAAGGCTAGACAATGCTGTACTGGAGTTGGTTATTAACCTTCCTCCACATACGTTAATGTCTGATAAAACTCATTTAGGGTAGGCTTTGGTAAAATATTTCCCTCTGAGGACAGACTGTTGTTAAAGAGAATAGAGTACTATTTCAAAATGGTTACTCCTCCCCACCCTGCCCCCCACCTCCATTGCTGGAAACAGGAGGAGAGCTTACTCCAAGCTTCACAGTGAGAACCTGATGAGATTCCTGCAGGTAAAACTCATGAAAATGTGGGCCCCTCCTAAGGCTGAGCCACCAGGAGTTTTTATTTCTCAAGCCAGTCCAAGCTCAGTCTCCAGAAGTTAGTCAACTACCCTTTAAGTATTCCTACTCAATGCTGGGTTCAGCAGCAGTGAATTCTGCTCCTGGTAAACGGTGAGTCTCTGTATCAGCCTGTATGCCTCCAGTTTTCAGGGAGGCGGTTTGCCCTGTGACCTCAATTCTCTGATGTATCTAAGCATAGTTGTTGATTTTCAGGTTTTTTTCTTGTTGTGAGTACAAGAACGATGACTTCCAAGCTCTTTACATTCCAGACAAGAAACTGGAAGTCCTTTGCATGCATATTTAGCTTGTGTCTTTATCAGTTTTGAGTCTCCTAAAACCATTTTCCAGATTATTAACTAATAGGGTAATTATGTCTGCTGTAACAAATGAACCTCAAATTCTCAGAGGCTTAACCCAATGGAAATGTATTTCTCACTCATCTAACAGTCCAATGCAGGTGTTCCTGGTCACATATTATGATGACTCAAGGACCTAGGGCTCCATCTTGTAGACCTACAATCTTTAAAGAGTTCTGTACTTACCTGCATGAAGCTTGTAGAAAGAGAGGATGGAGAAGGCAACTACCTCAGCCTAGATGGAGCGCATATCACTTCTGCTCACATTCTACTGGCTAAAATTTGTCACTTGATTCCACTTAGGTGCAAGAGATTCTGGGAAATGTAGTCACTCTCAGCTAGAACTCTATAGAAAGAGAATCCTGAATTTTAATGGACTATTAGCATCTTTAACATATCTTGAGATACAACAATTTTTAAATCTCTGTATGATGCTGTCACTAGAAATATTATCCCAAGTGACAAGTATTCATTCATATAGTATTAGAGAAGTATTTTAAAACATATCTCATAAGTGAATATTTGTGGTCACTACAGTCTATAATGCCTTTTAAAAGTGATATTTCAAAGGGCTTGTTTATAACAATATCCAACAGTTGCAATTACCCCAAGAAGGGTCCCTTAAATTTCTTTTCTCCCTTTTTGATTGGCAAGTGACTTCTATAAGCACCTCATACTAGCTTTCCTGAGGTTGATTAAAGCTAACAGACCATCCCTAAACAGTACTTTGTTTTTTGAAATAAAGTATTGAGAGAGCACTCCTTAATATGAGAGATTGTAAGGCCTTCAGTATGCAGCTATCCCTCTTTCTGAGGGATAATTTTGTAATAAAGTCATGTTATATATTTAAGCATATGTTATAAATTATTCAGCTCCATGTTTATAGCCTGGTTAAGGAGAGGGGAGCTATACTAAGAGGAAAAACTGAAAAAAAAAAACTATTGAGAGGGAAAAGAGAGAAAAAGAAGGAGCAAATGAGAAGCATGAAAGGGAGACAACAGGAGAGGGAAAATCCAACAGCCCTCACCCACGTCCCTCCCCCTACTTGTTATTCAAAAGCTCATCAACATCACCTCTTACTCCCCCAGCCATGCATAGCCTCTCTGACCCTTCTCTGATTATGCATCCTGTTCCCACCTCCTATGCCCCTGCTCTTCTAACAAACCAGCCCTTCCCATTTCTACCCTCCAGATCTGGCCCCCTTACCCCAATTTCCAATTCTTATGCCTATGTTGGCTAAAATCTCCTTGTCCCCATAAATTCATTCACTAGTCCCTCAACTAGCATGTTACAGTCTAGATGGAAAGAAATTAAGAGGCAGTTCAACAACACAGAATTAACAGCTCTCTCCTCTGCCTTCTATCACCAGGGAGTACTTCGTGGAGATGTACTATCGGAATGAATCACGGCATGAGCCACACCCCCTCACACTGCCAGGCTGCACCCACAGCTGTCCTCTGACCAAGTTTGCTAAGCTGGTTGCCCCTGTGATCCCCAGAGACTGGGCTTCAGAGTGTATGATTACAACTGACCATCAAGGTATTGAGGATGTTACAGATTAGCGTGTATGCAGCGTTCTGCACAACAGGCAGAGTGGCCTTTCTCAGAACAGTTGGCGCTTTGAGAATATACCTTGGCTGTCACCCTCAGCTTTGAGGGAAATGGGTTTTGGGTAATAATTATGTTTCAGGTACCTTGCTACCTGGCCCTGCCACCACTTGCCTTGACTTAGTTGTTTCAGTGTTAATATAAGGGGGCATCTGTGCCAAAATATAATCAGGATGAAACTTGGGTTAAAGGCCATGAGGCAGTCATGACCTATGTGATTGGCCACACACCTGACTTTATCACTAAACTATCGCCCAGAAAGAGAGGGTGGTTGTATATTTGAGTCCTCACAATCTCTCATATTAAGGAGTGCTCTCTCAATATTTTATTTTAAAAAACAAAGTACTGTTTGTGGAAGATCTGTTAGCTTAAACCAACTTCAGTAAAGTTAGTATGAGGTGCTTACAGAAGTCACTTGTTATTTAAGAACTCTCAGATTTGGTTTCAGCAGGATTATATGAGGCTGTTCTTTAAGTGTCTATAGTGAAACAGATGTCAGACAAAACCCATAATCTAGGGTGGGAACAAGGAAGGGAAGAGTTATTCCTAGTCTAATAGGCAAAGGAATAACTCACCTGTTAGTTCCAGCCTTCTCACAAAGAGAGGCAAAAACATGAGAGACAGTGGAAGAATTTAGGGAACTCTTGTAGGCTGAAAACTTGGTATTGTTTTGACATTTGTATTAAATATATTGGGTGGCAGAGCTGAAAAATAAAAGCATGTTTGCATTCTTTGATCCTAGAACATCCATGTTCCTTCTGAAGAAACCAAAATCAAACTTGACAGAAAGCTCTGATATATGTAATACATATAGCAGCTCTTGGAATATATGTGTATATACAGCAGCTCTTGGAATATATGTGTATATATAGCAGCTCTTGGAATATATGTGTATATGTGTATATATATATATATATGTCACAGCAAATAAGTAGCCTAATGAGAACAAGATGTTCTGGTCCAGCATATCAGAGATGAGAACACTGAATGAGTAGAGCTTCTCTTGAAGCTCCTATGATAAGAGATGTTGAATCTGAAGTTGATTTAAGAGAGGAAGTATGATTGACACATATCAAACTGGAGCAAAACTGGGAACATAAGCATGTTCCAGATGCCTCCAGGATCGAAACTTATTAGAATGTTGAGAGTGCAATTATGAAATCTGTTTGGAGGACAAAAAGAATGTGTCAAACTTTGATTCTGGTATCTTCAGAAAACCTAAGCAAACTGCTGCTGTAACAGAAATACCTCAAGTGGGTGGCTTTAGTGAACAGAAATTTCTCACAGTTTCCGAAGTTAAAAGTCCGAATTCAGGGCACTGGCTCTAGGAGAAGTTGGCTCTAGCGGAAGATCCTTGTCTCAGCTTCTCTAGCCCTGGCATTCCTTGGTTCCTTCGCTATATCCATGTGTCATCTATCTTCCACCGTTTGTGCTCACTTGTCTCTGTTCTAAGCTGGTCTCTATATCACTCAGAAGTGATTGGGTGTAGGACACACTCTACGTTGGTATGACCTCATTAACATAACAAAGAAATCCCTATACTCAAATAGGATTATATCCACAGGTATAGGGGCCAGGACTCCATCACATATTTTGGGGGGACACAATTCAATCCATAATACCATTCTACATTACCATTAAGGATAAAGTGAGAGAATGCCTAAAGATGGTTTCTACTGGATGCCAGAGTCTAGAGCAAACCCAGTCCCACTCCTAGTTGGTCTTGGGATGACTGACAGAAGACACTGATTGATAATGTTTATTTGTGTTTTCTTCCCAAAAAAAATATTTGGCCTTGGAGCCATCACCTAATTATTCATTCTCAGTGACACAGTGGTTAAGAGCCATGGCAAGCTACAACTGCTAACTAAAAGGTCAACAGTTCAAATCCACCAGCTGCTCCTTGGAAACTCTACGTGGGCAGTTCTACTCTGTCTTACAGGCTCACTATGAGTCGGAATCAACTCGACAGGGATGGGTTTCGGTTTTTTTTGGTCCATGCTTGTAACTTTCCTTCAGCAATGAGCCAAACATAAAATAGTGAATAAAGTCCTCAACAGGAAGTTCAAAAGCATTACTTTCATAATGAACTTTGAAAAGCATTTCTAATTAGGATAAAATTCCTGCAGGAAAGATTTCAGAGGCATTATTTTTATTTGTTGAGGGGTTTTGTTTTAATGTAACAGGAGGAAAAATATTAATATAAAGTAAAACTTTTGACTGCATTAAATGAACTTTGTACATTGAAAATGTATTTAATTTGAACTTTACTGCTTTGGATAAAGGCTAAACTGATGGATGTCCTTGCCTCACTATTTAAGGTGGGAACAGGAAGTTCACAACGTAGTGGGAAAGTATAAAGATGCATAAAATGCAGAATAACAAGTGTTATTTCTTATGATTACACGGGTTGCAATGGGAACAAGCATTACCTGGATTTGGAGGGAGGGAGGGAAGTAGTAAGGAAGGTCCAGGAAGGATTCCTGCAGAAGATGACAACTGCACCATGTGAAATCAGTTTGCATGGAGGTTTCTAATGGTGTTACACAAGACAGCAAAAAGGTACTTATCAAATGCCCTAGTGGCTTGAAGCTGGAGGGGATAGGGAAGTTACTAGGCAAAAGAGTTGGAGTCCAAAGAGATTCCCACAGGTTTCATTCAGGGGGCCAATGATTTTATTGTGATTAATATTAATATACATATGTATATATATATGGAGCCTTGGTGGCCTGGTGGTTAAGTGTTCAGCTGCTAACCAAAAGGGCGGCAGTCCGAATCCACCAGCTGCTCAGTGGAAACCCTATGGGCAGTTCTACTCTGTCCTATAGTGTTGCTGTGAGTTGGAATCGACTCAATGCAATGGGTTTGGTTTTTGTTATATGTATATGTATATATATACATATATGTATACATATATATATACAAAATATATATATATTTTGTTATATGTTTTATGTGTACAGCACATAAAATTTTCCATTTTAACCATTCTTAAGTGTACAATTCAGTGGCATTAACTACATTCACATGGTTGTACAACCATTACCACCATCTATTTCCAAACTTTTTCATCACCCCAAACAGAAATTCATTAAGCAATAACTTTCTATTTTCTCCTACCTTCAGCCCCTGGTAACCTCTAATCTACCTTGTGTCTCTATGAATTTGCCTGTTCTGGTTATTTTATATATGTGGAATCATTCAATATCTGTCCTTTTGTGTCTTGTGTTATTTCATTTAGCATAATGTTTTCAAGGTAGCATGTATTAGAATTTCATTCCTTTTTATGGCTGAATAATATTTCTTTGTACATTTATACCACATTTTGTTTATTCCACATTTTGTCTATTAATGGAAACTTGGGTTATTTCCACCTTTTGATTATTGTAAATAATGCTGAAATGAACATTGTGTACATGTGTCTGTTTGAATCCTGTTTTCAATTCTTTGCGGTATATATGTAGGAGTGAAGGATTTTTATCTGTTGTGTTCTCTTTTGTATCTGTCCCCAGCAGCTGTACCTGGCATGGAGCTCAATAAATATTTGCTCAATTAATGTATAAATTGGTAACCTTTCCTCTCTAAACCTATTCTTCTCTGTCTTGATTAACAGCCACACCCAGTAACCTAGCAGTCATTTTGATCCCACTTTTCCTTCATCCTCCATGTCCAATCTGTCACCTCCTCTAGTCAACTCACTGAAATTGGTCATGGTGGGAATATTTTCACTACAGAAATAAGCAAATTCTATAGATCAGAGTTCTCTCTCACTCTCACCTGGTTTACCAATATACCACTGGTTTTAGCTCAAAGAAATCTTGTTAAAAGTCTATAGCATGAGGTGGCCTCTGACAAAATGAATTCAATATTTAAACTTCTTTAAGGAAAAAGGACTAGATTTGTTCTATATGGCCTCAAAGAGCAATGCTAGGGTAGCAGGCAAAACTCTCAGAGAGACAGCTTGTCATTCAGTGGTGGGAAATTCCTAGGACAGGAGGTATCCATTGGGCGGGATGATCACTTGCCTTGGGAGAGATACTATAGAGTAGGCTTAAGCACAGAAAGTTATTGGGAACCTACTCCTTAGTCAGGTCTCCAGATTTTGCAAATAAAAATATAGGATGCTAAAAAAAAATTTGAAAAATAGTTCTAACTTGAATTTATTGGGAAAAAAATACAAGACATTTAGGGCATCAAGACAAAGCCAATACAGAAAGCAGGACAAAATCATTAAATATAGGACATTGTCCTATAGATGCAGGATGCCTGGTAACCCTACTCCTTAGTGCATTTTCACCCATGAAATTCTAGCCATACTTATAAACAGTACTTTCAGCTAGTTCTAGCAGACCAATGTTCTGTTCTTGTATCAATTTATTAAATCAGAATCTTTACTGGGAAAGTCATGATAAGTCTAAGTTCCACACTATGTTACTTAAGAATAAGAAAACCTCTTTTTAAAAAAATACTTCTTTAATTCCTAAATTTTACTAATACAGTCAGGCTTTCTTTGCTAGTACTCTCCCACCCTCTGCCTCAATGTCCAGCTCAAATTATTTCACCAGAGGGAGATTTTACTGGTGGGAAGTTCCAGTTTCCCTCATAATCTTTGTAAAGCTGAGAATCTACTGCATATATACACGTGCCTAAGATTCAAGCATAAGCTTAAAGGCAGAATCCATACCTTTTTCTTCTGAATTCTCAGCCAATAGACAATGCCTACAAGTCTGGTGTGCCTCCAATCAGTATTTCTTGGTTGAATAAATGTTCAGCTCTCCATGCCTAGCCTGACTTCCTAATAGCTGGGCCCGGATGTCAGAAGCCTGGGATTCAGTTGTTCAATAAATAGGGAGAGAAGCTATGAATGTGCCACAAAAATGACTTCACTACAAAGACCCAATCATTGACTATATATGTGTATCTACATACCAACATGTCTGTTGTATTTGGCCTGTTTTTGGCATAATTACTGTCATTCTCTTGTTCTCCTATTGTTGTTCAGAATCCCTGTTCCACAA